TTGTAGCCGGGACTGCCACTTGTAGCCGGGACTGCCACTTGTAGCCGCGACCTCCGCTTGTAGCTAGGGTGAGGAGGCAGGACCTGAATCTTTGAAGGGTTTGAAGCCTGTGCTGTAGGCACAGTCTCTCCAGGCAACTGGATACCCCTTTTCTCTGATCCACCACCCTCGGGATCTAAACTGCTGTGGTAACATGCACTTTCAAATGCTTGATGCATTCTGGAACTATGGATCGTGCCAACAGAGGCTCCAATTTTCATCCATCACATGGCTGACCAGGAAATTCTCTCCTTTTACGGCTTGTGTTGGAAGAATTTACATTTGGTTATGTTATGAGTACACCTTACTTAGCCATCAAGTCCTGATGGGGCTGGAACTTGGAACTTCTGGTTCAGAGGCAGAAGCAGTACCCACTGTGCCACAGGACCTCCATATTATAAAAACAGCTTGCTTTCTCAATAAGAAAAAGCTTACATTTAGGCAAGGTTATAGCGACAGCTCTTTTTCTGTTTTTATTCTCTTGATTTCCTATTCTCCTCCTCAGTTTCTCGTATCTAACTACATATTTGTCGTATCTCTGAGTCGTGTCGCTTTACACCTTCAGCCCCATTCCTAAAATCTGAAACGCTTCACTCCCACCCTTGACAAAATGCTGCTTCCCAGATTGGATTCTGTCCCTGTTTGTGACTTGACAGTTCAAGTATATCCATCCATTCATGGTAACACAGAGCTTTATATCAATCAAACAATTAAAAGTTTTGATATGACTACGTAGAGCCGTATAGGATGGAAACAGACCCTTCTGTCCAACTCGTCCATGCCAACCAGATATCCTACATTAATCTAGACCCATTTGCCAGTGTTTTGCCCATATCCCTTAAACCCTTCCTATTCGTGTACCCATCCAGGTGTCTTCTAAATGTTGTAATTGTACCAGTCTCCACCACTGCACCTGGCAGCTTGTTCCATGCACGCACCACCCTCTGCGTGAAACAGGTACCCCTTAGGTCCCTTTTAAATCTTTCCCCTCTCACTTTAAACCAATGCCATCTAGTTTTGGATGCTCCTACCCTGGGGAAAAGACCTTGACTATTCACTCTAGCCATGCCCCTCATGATTTTATAAAGCTCTATAGGCTCGCCCCTCAGCCTCTGATACTCCAGGGAAAGTAGCCCCAGCCCATTCAGCCTCTCACTATAGCTCAACCATCCAACCAGCCCCAGTAACACTTAACAGGGGAAAAAAAAATCCCTCTTGTATTGGTCCAATTTTCTTTTTATTTGTTTATGGAATATGGGCATCACTGAGTAAGTTGGCATTTCCCGCCCATCCCTATTTGCTCAGAGAACCATTAACAGTCACACACATTTCCGTGGGTTTAGCGTCACATGTAGGCCATACCAGGTAAAGATGGCAGATTTCCCTCCCGAAAGGAGATCAATGAACCAAGTGGGCTTTTACTACAGTTGACAGTGGTTTAACGCTCATCATTAGACTATCTTTTTATTCCAGGTTTTATTGAATTCAAATTTAACCATCTGCAATAGTTGCTTCGAACCCATGTCCTCAGATTATTAGCCTGGTATTGTAGGATTAGGCTAGGAACAACATTACCGCAACGCCCCTACTTCTGCTAAGGGATTTAAGCCTTTATACTTAATATTTATATGATAAATATAACCTTGTACAGGCAAACATGCAACTGTGCAACAGGTTATATTGTGTCATATTGATAATAACAGTTTAACAAAACCACCAAAATCCTAGAAATGATAACGCAGGCCTGTGCAGCATTGTATTTTAACATGTGCTTCATCCCTATATGCAATGTGTCAGTCTGTATTTATGTAGCTGTAATTAATTGTGGATTCCTAGAGTTTATTTTTCTATATCTGCTGTTTGAGCATGAGAAAGAGGCAAAGAGAAATGATACCTTCATTGATCAGTCATCATTACCCAGCTGTAAACTTATCCTTTGCAGCTATTTACCTTCTGTATGCCAAGCTGGAGGAGGAGTACGGTTTAGCTCGACATGCCATGGCTGTGTATGAAAGAGCAACCAAGGCAGTCGAGCCTTTGGAGCAGTATGAGATGTACAACATCTATATCAAAAGAGCAGCCGAAATCTACGGAGTTACCCACACAAGGGGCATCTACGAGAGGGCAATTGAGGTACCAGTGGGCATCTGTTTACGTCTCATCCTCATTCTGTTGCAGGTGGATTTATGTTCAGCCAAGGATTATAAGGAACGTCTTGCCCAGCTCAGCGTATGTCCTTTCTCATTCTGCTGAAATTCAGAGGATAACAGCAGTGTAACAGGTTGAAGCAGAGACATGATTCCAATATAGCAGAGCAGATGATTGATGATACTTCAGCTGTGTGTGGGTACTGTGGAGAGAGTGCACTGCCAATAGGATTTCCACTGTAACCATGACAACATATTGAATGGATCACGAACTAGATTGTGCATTTATTGCAAGGGCGTGGAGTTGAAAAGTGGGCAGGTCTTGATACAGCTGTACTGAACAGTGCGCTGATCAGGCAGCCCCTGGAGCTCCTAACATAAGGTTGGGGCATACTTGCATTGAAAACAGTTCAAAGAGGGTTAGCTAAGCTAATTCCTGGGGTGAAGGGATTGTTTTGTGAGGAAGGTGTGAACAAGTTGGACTGGTGTTCATTGGAGTTTAAAAGGATGAGAGGTAATCTTATTGAGACATGTCAGATTCTCAGGGACTTGGCAGGGTAAATAGAGTCTTAGAGATGTCAGCACAGAAACAGACCCTTCAGTCCAACTTGCCCATTGCTAGCATTTCACCCGTGTCCCTACAAATCCTTCCCGTTCATGTACCCATCCAGATGCCTTTTAAATGTTGTAATTGTACCAACATCCACCACTTCCTTTGGCAGCTCATTCCATACATGCACCACCCTCTGTGTAAAAAAAGTTGCCTCTTAGGTCCCTTTTAAATTTTTCCTCTCTCACCTTAAACCTGTGCCCCTCTTGTTTTGGACTACCCCCACACTGGGGAAAAACCTTGGCTATTCATTCCATCCATGCCCCTCATGATTTTATAAACATCTATAAGGCCACCCCTCAGCCTCCGATGCTCCAGGGAAAATTCCCCCAGTCTGTTCAGCCTCTCTCTATAGCTCACACCCTCCAACCTTGGCAATATCTCTGTAAATATTTTCCGACCCCTTTCAAATTTCACAACATCCTTCCAATAGCAGGGAGACCAGAATTGAACGTAGTGTTCCAAAAGTGGCCTAACCAACGTCCTGTACAGCTGCAACGTAACATCCCAACTCCCATCCTCAATGCACTGACCAGTAAAGGCAGGCGTACCAAAGACCTTTTTCACCACCCTGTCTACCTGCAACTGCACTTCCATGGAACTATGAACCTGCACTGCGAGGTCTCTTTGTTTGGCAATACTAGATGCTGACAGGACGTCTCATTCTCCCCCCAACACCACACCACACACACAAACGTGTGAGAATCAAAAGCTAATGGGTTTCAAATGAACACTAAATCTACCTTTCCAAAAGAGGATTAGGAGGAATTTCTCCCCTCAGGATCACTAACTGCTGAAATTCTTATCCTTGGCAAGTAGTGGAGGCTAGGTCAATGAATATAGCCAAGTCTGAGTTAAATGTTTGATTGACAACTGTAGCCAAGAGTTGTGGAGTGGCAGTGGAGGTAAGGGTACAGTCAGCCTGGCCAGGATTTTAATGAATGATGGTGCAGGCTTGAGGGGCCAAGTGGCTACCCATTGCATCCTATTTCTTCTTCAGATTTGACCTGTGCTTTTTGTTGCTATTTGGCGACGTGCCGAAGGATTGAAATTTAATTCTGGCCTCTCGTCAGAAGAGCAAAGTGATCCAGGGCCCTTTACATCAGTGTACCTCTATCGCCAGGAGGGACCTACTGCCCTGCTCCATCACCGTGGAATTTGATTGACAGCTCTGCTTAATACTAATTGTTGTGTGGACCCTTCCAGCAGCAGAAAATGCTGTATCTTTTAAACATCCAGCACAAAGATTGTTAAAGCTCTGGGATGAGCAGTGTTCTAGTGATAGTGTGACGGGTTATGCAATCTGTTTGTGACGTGGGAGGGTATTCGGAGTGTGCAATTTCCTGAGCATTTATAAGGAGGTTTCCAACTGCGGTCTAAATGAAAAGGATGATTTTGGTATTGTAGGTATGTTCATAAAGTAATTTCTTTTTCCTTACAGGTGTTGCCAGATGAACATGCTCGTGATATGTGCCTGCGGTTCTCTGATATGGAATGCAAACTGGGTGAAATCGATCGGGCCCGATCCATTTACTCTTACTGCTCTCAACTCTGCGATCCAAGGGTAGGTTCCTCGACTGGCATTTTGCTTTTATGCTCCTAAGGAGCAGTGAGAATTCCTGCTTATACTTTGACTTGGAAGACCTCCTGTGTCCAGTGATCCAAGAGATGGGCAAAATATTTGCCTACCCTTGTTTCCACAGGTGGATTTGTCTCTAATCTGTAGCTTGAGAGGTACCACCCCAAATTGAACGGGACTGACCGGGAGACACTCCCACTTTCACCATGTGCCATGGATGCGTTGGAAGGATATGCAGGCTGATGATCAACCTGTTTAGCCACATTATGAACACCCTTCCTGTGCCTTCCTTGGGATGGGAATCAAAATTATAGAATCCCTACAGTGTGGAAGCAGGCCATTTGGCCCATCGGGTCTGCACTGACCTTCTGAATAGCATCCCACCCAGACCCACCCCCTGACCCTGTAACCCTGATTTTTCATTGGTTTCCTATTTAACTCTTATCATTTTCAGATAACACCGTCGTTCTGGCAGACTTGGAAGGAATTTGAGATGCGGCATGGTAACGAGGACACTATTCGTGAAATGTTGCGGATTAAACGGAGTGTGCAGGCCACATACAATACCCAGGTCAATTTTATGTCGTCGCAGATGCTAAAAGCCTCCACGAATGCCACAGGCACAGGTAAACAATTGGCTGAAAAGTTGACTCAGTGGCAGCTGATACACTGCAGCAACTTAACACTGCTTAACTTCGATAACATTTTCCGAGCCTGCAAGCTGTCCCACCTAGAAAGACAAGGGCAGCAGAGGCATAGAAACACCACCACCTGCAAGTTCTCCCCGAGCCCCACACTGTCCTGTCTTGGAAACACATTACTGTTCCTTCAGTCACCGAGTCAAAATACTGGAGCTCCCTCCCTGACACCACATAGGTTGCAGAGGTTCAAGAATTTAGCTAACCCACTACCTTCTTCAGGGCAGTTAGGGTTGGGCATAAAATGCAGGTCTAGCCTCAACTTGCAAATACTAAGAAAGTCTTAACAAAAAAAAAAGTGGTGGTTGCCACTCTTCACAAGATAGTCACAGATGACCTAGGCCCTCTGGTGAATATTTTATAGCAGTGCTGGTGTTTTCCCTCTACTGCTGCATTGTTCGACAATCTGTTCCATGTGTTGCTCACTTCTGTGCACAGACAACTTCCTGATGTCAGTCCTGATTTTGCCTTTAGCTTGCTTTGTAGCTGCAGCTTCTCACCTTCTCCTACTGGTCATTTTCCAGATTTATCATCGCAGACAGATTGCAATCAGTTGCATCTCCCAGACTTCTCATAGATAAAAAGGTCCAACTTTCTTCAAATTCTCCCCCAGATACAACTTCTTAATGTGTTACAAAGGCCAGTTAGGAGTCACTCACTTTGGGTTTGGAGTCTCATATAGATCAGATAGGGTAAAGACCATTTCTTCAAGATGGGTTTTATGACAATACAGTAATTTGACTGTGACTATTATCAATACTAGATTTTTAGTTTGAAATTTATTTCATTAATTGAATCTCCATTCCACTGCTCCCATGGTGGGGGTTGATTTCAAGTTGCTGGACTTTGCAGCCTTTGGATTAGACCAGCAACATAAGCACTACTGTATCCTTTTATACTGCTCCAAAAAACCAGTTAATGAGCTGTACCGTAATGTGCAGAAGACATACTGTCTTATCATTGCAGCTCATTCTTTATCAGAAAATTACAACGGCAAAATCATCCTTTTACCTCACTCAGTCTTCCCTCCCTCCTTTGGTCTACAGGGTTATAGTAACCTTGACATTATTCTAACAACTGCTTCCTGAGTTTCCCCTTCATCTCTCCTTTCAAATTTGAGATATCTCTTACACTGCAAACTTTGGCCTTTTCCCTAAATTGTTCACTGAACACTATGTTGTCAAGTTTGACTCTTTTCATGCAGACTCTGTGTGAGAAGGTGTCATGGTAGCATTATCACTGGACGTGTCATTCAAAGGCCTAGACTAATGCCTTAGTAACATGGGCTTAAATCCCACTGTGGCAGCTGATCGAATTTAGATTCAAATTGTTAAAAATCTGGAAATTAATGCTAATCTCCATAACGATGACCACGATGATAGCCATCAGGTTCATTAATGTCCTTGAGGGAAGGAAGTCTACCATCCTTACATGGTTTGGCCTCTATCTGACTGCTGACCAACAGCAATATCTCTGAAATGACCAAGCAAGCTATCAGTTCATGGGCACTTGGGGGATTGGTATCAAATGCTGGCTTGTCAGTGATGCCCACATCCCATTGAAAGAGTAAACAGAAAACATTTGCCAGAGAGGAATCAGTGTAGCATGTCTGGCCAGAGTTTTGCCAAAGGTTGTCTGAGCCTGGTGTTTTATTTTGAAAGCTGTGACTCATTAGGAACAGCCTCTGAATAAAATGATACATTTTAGTATGCTTAATAAACTGAAATTGCATAAAATGTGCCCCAAACTGCTGGACTAAAGTAGCTTCTCGTGATTATTAGTTTTATTACTTGTAGTAGAATTGAGTTTCGGAGGGGAAAAAAAAAACACTTACAGGAGGAATAAGCTGAGTTTACTTTTTAAAGGGGAACTTACAATCTAAATCATTTACCCTAGCCTGATAACTGACTGAAGTGTATCCAGGTAAGAATCTTGTGTAAGAAGCGCTATTCAAACCCTAAATCATTTAACAGGTGAGAATGCAGTTTTCACTAAAACCCAGATTCTCCTCACATTTATGTTGCAGTCTCTGATCTTGCACCTGGACAAAGTGGAATGGATGACATGAAACTGCTGGAGCAGAAAGCGCAACAGTTGGCGGAAGAGGCTGAGAGGGAAAAACCCAAACCCAAAGACAAAATTCTATTTGTCAGGTATGCTGTGTCTCTGGCAGAATGGAAATGAATCATGTCACTTTTATGTTGATCTTGGTGTCTTTCAGTCTGAGCATCTGAAAATTTACTTCAGATGGCATAAGCTTCCATGGGCACAACTTTACCCACGTCAGTAACCTTAGTGAGGGTCCTGGGATTTGACCCAATGCATAACTATTATGCCAACCTCTCTCCTTTCTTCCCAAGTTCCTCCAAGACCTTCTAAATGTTGAGTTCATCTCAGTCAGTAGCACAAAGCCAGCAGCTCAACACTGAGTACAGTTGAACGCAGAGTAAGGGCTTGGGAATTTGTGGAGTAAGGGAAATTTCGTGGAGTCAGGGAAGTGGTCCAGTCTAAACAACTAGCAGATGGAAAACTAGATACATGAAGTTACAGTAGTAAGTAGTTTACTTGGGGAGGTTGAAGAGGAACCACAGTTGGCTGTTAGGAACTAAGTTTGAAGAGTGGGAGAAAACAAAGAGATTTCAATAAAACTTTTACGCTGATTGCTCGTTAAGTATTCACTGAAAAGGTCTGTGTGCAAGTTGTGTGTAAATTCTCTACTTTTAGGAAAAGTGTGTAAATAAAGCATAAGTCATAAGTACCAGCCTTATAGGCACAGGAGAAGGACTGGATTGGTGAGTAAGACTCAGTAACATTTGCACCACTCAGGCAACGATCATTTCCAACAAGAAAGAATCTAACCATTGCCCCTTGAAATCCGATGGGATTATCATCGCTGAAGCCCCCCTGTCAACATCCTAGGGGTTACTGTTAAATACAAACTGAACTGGCTTAGCCATGTAAATATTGTGACTACAAGAACAAGTCTGAAGTTAGGAATCCTGCAGTGAGTAACTCAGTTCCTAACTACCCAAACCTTGGAACTCCCTCCCTCATGCGTTGTGGGTCTACCTATAGAATGTGGGATACAGTGGTTCAAGAAAGCAGCTCACCACCACCTTCTCAAAGGCAACTAGAGATGGGCAATAAATGCCCAGTCATTGACACCAACATTCCATGAATAAATAAATGAAAAGTGTTTTTCTACTTACTAGTGGTCAGTGTATAGTCCAAAAGGAAGCTTAAGTCATGGCAGGGCAACGTAGCTAAGTTAAATACCCATCTTGTATCATGCGTTGAGTCATGAGTCATTCATGTGGGCTAGATGAGCTATCACCAGCAGCAGAAACATGATCTCTGGGTTTTGGAACTCAAGTGGCAGCTGGAATCCATACAGCTGAGAACTATGTGATTTTATGTTTAAGGAGCTGGCCACACTGCACGTTACAAGCATGTAGGCAGACAGGGAATAGGTGACCACCAGACGTGCTGGGGGTATCACGCAGCTAGTGCAGGAGTCCCTCAGTCTATCTCGCTCGATGGTTTCCATGTTTAGATACTGTTGAATGGGATTGATCGCCAGAGGAATGGTACGTGAGCCAAGTTTGTGATACTGCAAGTGGCTCAACTGCACAGACGTTGGGGGGAGAAGAGTGGAAGGGAAATACCCTTGTTCTTCAAAGTGGTTGTGTTTACTGATTTGGAAGGTGCTGTTGAAGGGGCCTTGGCTATTTACTGCAGTGTATCTTGTAGTTGATACATGTCGCTACCATTGTGCTTCTGTGGTGAAGGGGGCAAATGTTAAAGTGATGAATAGCATCCCAATTAAATGGACTGTTTTGAACTGGATGTATTTTACTGGATGTACACTTAAGTATTGTTGGAGCTACACTTATCCGCGTAAGTGGGGAATATTTTGTCAGTCATCACCAGTTGATGCATTATCCTGACTTGTGCTTTGTAGACATGCTTCGGGGCGACACAAGGCATGTTACTTGCTGTAGAATTCCAAACCTCTGACCTGCTCTTGTAGAGCCACTGTATTCATACAGCCAGTTCAGTTCAGTTTCTGACCAAAGACTACCACTGCTATGAAGGGTGCGTTCCTAGAATATGTATAAGATGCCTTTATGGAGAAGAATGTTGATGAACCAACTAGGAAGAGGCTATTTTAGACCTATCATTAAACAATGAGAAAAGGTGAATTAATGTTATTGTCAAAAAACCTCCCAGGGCAAATCACTATAGTATGATCAAATCCTCCATTAAGTTCGAAACTGATGTAGTGCGTTCTAGAACAATTCATAAATCTAAACAAAAGAAGCTAAGAGGGCAGGTCAGTTTTGATAGATTGGGATAATACATTAAAAGGTTTGGCAATGGACATGCAGTGGCTAATGTCTAAAGAATTTGAGTACTGAAAAGACATCTTTTGCCTTCCACTTTTCAGGACGGTTCACAAGAAATACCAAAGTAAAGGGAAAACAGCATTTATTCTGTATGAGAGGACAATACTGATTGGTTGGCAAAGAGACTGTGATAGTGGCATTGCCATGGACAAGTGCACCAATTAATGATGACTGACAGTTAACTGCCAAGCTTTGTTTAAATATTAAACCAAGCAGATCAACTCTGATTGCTCAAGGCATTGTCCTGAGAAATTAACCAGAGAGTGGCTATTGCTTATTTTGTTGAGTTGAAACTGACTCTGTGTGTGTGTGAGAGATATCTTTCTGTGTACAGAGAACAGGGCCCTGTGTATTGATATGTGAATTGATATACACAGGTGTCCACCATTAGATATTATTCTGCAATTGGACAACATGTTCAATAATTGAATAAAGCTGACAATTTAGGGATGTTGGTTGGGCCGGGTATGTGGAACACTTGCTTGCACTGTAAGATACATGTATCAAAGCAAGCGATGTGGTGTATTGGGATTTTTAGAATATTTTCCATTAGGGGCTCACTGAGAAGGTCAGTGGACAGAATTAGAACACAAGGCTCGTGGTGATATATTGGCATGGATTGAGGATTGTTTACCAGAAGGAAAGCAGGAAATAGGAATAAATGGGTCATTCTCAAGCTAATGGGCTGTACAAGGATCAATGATTGGACCCCAGCTGTTCACAATCTACAACAATGATTTGGGTGTGGTTGACCCATGGTGAATTTTCCAAATTAGCAAATGACAAAACTAGTTTAAAATGTGTGTTGTGTGAAGAGAATTCTGAGGGATTTGGAGAGGCAGAGTGAATAGGCAAGAACATGACAGATGGAGCGTAAAGTGGCTTAGTTTGAGATTATCCACTTTATTCAGAGGACAATATATCCAGAGTATTTCTCACATGGTGAGAGATGGGAAAGTGTTGATGTCTGAAAGGACCAGGGTGTGCTTGTTCAGAAGTTGCTGAAAGTTAGCATGCAGCAATAGAAAGGCAGGTGGTAGTTATGCGTTGTCGCAAGATGATTTGAGTACGGGAACAAAGATGTCTGGCTTTAGTTGTATGGAACGTTGGTGAGACTACGCCTGGGGTATTGTGGGCGGTTCTGGTCCCCTTAAGGAAGGTTATACTTGGAGGTTCACAAGATTGATTCCTGTCATGTGAGGAGAGATTGAGGAGGTGCAGCCTGTCTAGAGTTTAGACAAATGAGAGGAGATCTTGCAGAAACGTACAAGAGGTAGGAAAGATGGTTCCGCGGGTAAGTGATCTAGAATCATGAGAGACAGTTTCAGAATAAAAGGCAAGCCACTTAGGATTGAGATGAGCTGAACTTCTTCATTCAGTCCTGAGTCTTTGAAATTCTCAGTCATTGAGAGACGGAGATTAATAGCTGTCCAGTTACTAACGATGTTAAGGGATGTGGGGATAGCACGGGAATATAGCAGTGAGATAGAAAATCAGCCAGGACCTGAAATAGTAGAGGAAGCTCAAGGGGCTAAATCGCCTATTTCTGCTGCTATGTTGCTAGCCCTTATTTCCAGCAATGAATGGTAGTGGACAGGTTTAGTATAGTGAAAGGAAATACATTTTTTAGAAAGGACATTTTCCATTAATTTCCCTTGTGAGCTGCTGTCTGGGACTGCAAACAATAGCCAAATAGAGTTGGCCGCAAATACAAATCTACAGAGCCCACGGCATCAAATTTCGTTCTTGAATGAATTTATCAGATTGCAGCTTTGTTTTTTTTCTCAGCTACAGAAGCTTGTTTTGGTTCTTTAGTGTTACTGAGTTTTGAGTTTTCCTCCCGTCCTGATATTGCTGCTCTCCATTACAGGAGTGATGCGTCTCGCAGTGAGCTTGCTGAGCTTACGAAACAAGCCAATCCCGATGAGATTGACATTGACGATGATGATGACGATGAGGAAGGTGATGAAGAACCTGACGGTATGTAAGGATTCAGACTGTAATCCCATGAGAAAGCAGCCTGACTAAAACTGCACTTATACATTCAAAGCGTCTTTGTTAAAACCTCTATCAAATCTTCTAAGTCCTTTTCCTCTTTGCAACTTCCTCATTAACTCCCAAAGCTACCTTGAAATCTATCTGTTTCCTTTCACTCGCTTTCTATAACTAGTTGATGATCAGTGCCTAATGCCAACCTCCAGGTCATTTTGAACTGTTTCATTTGCACTGTATAGAATTGCATTGCTTTAGCAAGGTCTTGATTTTTCTCTTGCTCGAGTGGTAGTGATGGATTTTAAATGAGCTGTACCTTACCATATGCAGTAAAGGGTATAATTAAATAGGAGCTCTCCATGCATGACCTCCAAACAAAAAAAAAATTAAATAAAGCTTTAGGAATGTTATTCTGAGCAGGAAGTTTCCTGCTTTAATTCCCAGTCTCTGTTGTATTATCTGATCTTGTTATGATAGTCATGTGACCACACTAGTTGGCATCAGTGTGTCAGGGTATCCAGTGATTCCAACTGGCAATGTTACGTGTTCTGTGCTGAATGGTTCAGTAATGATCCCAGTGCAGACTGTCACATGGAAGTGAAAATAACTGGTTTGCTGAGTTGCTAGAATGTTGGCGGGGAAGTGTTACAGCTGCTGTGACAGCGTGCACTGTTGTAGCCTGGAGCAGTGAATGGTGATAATAGAGATTCAGGGATACTTTCCATCACCTGACAGCTGGGAATCTTTCCTGTCTCACTACCTGCCAATGGCACGTGTTGGGACTGAGCTTGTGTGGATTGAATAGTCCGATGCTCAGTCACCTCAGGGTCACAGCACCACAGTGGATAAAAGCCATCCTCTCAGGATTGAGGATGACCTTCGTCCACTGTGGTCTTGCGGTGCTGAGGTGACTGAATAGGCCAGTGTTCCATCAGCACACCCAGCGTCGAGTGGTGTTTGAAGGGTCAGGTGAGCAGGAAGCTCAGATTTTCACACACTTCCACTATTTACACCTGGCATCGATCTGGGCATGTAGAAGGCCCTCCACATGATCGGTAACTTCATGAATGCTTCTTCTCCAGTTTGAGCAGTCTTGGGCGAGGGATTCTCAGTGGGGATATTGCATTTTTCTCAGGGAGGGTTTGAAGATGTCCTTGAGGTGTATCCTCTGCAGTCCTGCTGTAACAGTATTTGGACTTGAGAGTAATGAAGTAACTTTGCTTGGCCTTTGGGTCTTGGAGCCTGTGGCTCAGAGGTAGGGAGGCTGCTGGCTGCACCACAAGACCTTCTAAATTAACAAGTAGATCTGTTCAATGTTTCCTTTCAAGTAAGCCTGTGCGTTAGGGTTTGTTTTAGATTAGAGTTGATATCCTGGTTATTGAACCACCTCGGACTCTTCTATAACTTTACGTCTGCAAAACTGTCTTTACTACAATGTGTAAGGCTGAAAATTGACAAAATAATCCAAGTGGCAAGAGATTTCCCTGGATCTGCCATTTATGTTAAGAATTTTATGTTGTGGGAATTTGGGTGAAAGTAATATAAAATATCGTAATTTTAACTTTAAGTGACGTAACTACTTTTTTGTTTCTTTATTTTCAGAGGTGCCACTTGAGCAGAAGACAGTGCCAACAGCAGTGTTTGGGGGCCTGAAGGATGACTGAACAGTAACTGCGAACAGAGTTAATGACTTCCTATCACCCGTTACCTTCAGTAACAGAAGCTGCTGTTCAGACACAGATAGCCTTTATGTGCTGTTTCAAGCACATTTGAACAAGCAAAAAACAAGCAAAAGATTTATTGCCACTACGTCTGTTTTGTATCAAGATTTCTCTCCCTTGCAACTGTGTGCTACCAATTAGGACCACTGTCTTCTCTTTTGTGAAACTGTCTTTATATAAACGTATGGCAGGAGCCAGTCTCTTTTTTGTTTTAAAAAGACTTAAGATTTGTTCTTATTACCTTAATAAAGGTGAACTCAACAAATATATAATATGTGTGGATAAGGCCAGCAATTAGTCAAGGTGGGTGCAGATTCTATACTTTGGGAGACAGTAGAGACCTTCGGTAACTTTTTATACTTTCTTGTCCCTCTTTCTATATGCAGGGCTTATGTTTTTCATTCTCTTCTGAATACTGACACAGTCTCCACAAGGGTTCATCTTCCTAATGCCTCCAAAGGCAATCCATAACCAAGAGATAAATAGGTACTATAACTGCAGAAAGCATCTGATCCATCAAAATGACACACACCCAGAACTCCCAGTACCTCTCAAACACCCAACAGTAGATCTGATGTGATCATTTAACCCATGGCCCAAATCTCTCTTGATGTTAAAGACTTGAAATTATATAGCGCCTTTCACAACTTCTGGATGTCACATGCTTTACAGCCAGTGGAGTGCTTTAGCACTGAAATCGCTGCAGCAGCCCATTTGGAGACAGCAAGTTCCCACAAGCAATAGTGACAATATGATCTGTTTCAGCTGATATCTATCACTATTAGATTGGCTGCATCCAAGGTGAATCTCACTCCTGGATTGAACATCGTCTGTTGTAGAAGCTGATCAATGAGTGCCAGTCCCTTCTGCAGCTGGCACAGATGACCAGCCTTGACGTGAGGGGCCTAAGTCTTTCTCCAGCTGACGGGCTCTCTCTCCAGCCACCTTGTGATTTCTTTTGTACATTCTGCTGCTGGTCTGTTGGCATTCCCACTGTCAGCAGTGAGGTGTGACTGTGCATCAATTTCGTTTCCTGCCAGCTTGCAGTCATCCCTCTGTCACAGACAGGGATGGCCTGTTGGTCTCATGCCGACAGCAAACTCGCCGGGGAGCATGTCGGGGGATGCGGCTGCTAGCCATTTGGCTCACAAACTCGGCCAACAGAGTTGCTGCTGTCCGATGAGGGCCGGCCTGCTGGGGATCCCTGCACGCTGGTGCACTTCTACATCGAGCACATTTTTTAGTCAAGCTGTTCAGAGATGTTACGATTCACCTCTGGAGCAGGTGGGACTTCCTGGCCCAAAGATAGGCAGGGATACAAGCACATTACATTGCACATTGTGTTCACCATAGAATCCCAACATTGTGTAAACAGGCCTTCCGGCCCAACAAGTCCACACCGGACCTCAGACCTCCCACCCAGACCCATCGCCCTATAACCCACCTAATCTACACATGCCTGAACACTATGGGCAATTTAGCACAGCCAGTCCACCGAGCCTGCACATCTTTGGGCAGTGGGAGGAAACCCATGCAGACACGGGGAGAATGTGCAAACCCCACAGTCAGTCACCTGAGTGTGGAATCAAACCTGGGTCCCTGGTACTGTCAGGCAGCAGTGCTAACCACTGAGCCACCATGCTGCCCCAATTAATGTTTTCTGACATTAATTTTTCCTTGTTAAATCAGTTTGAATTCCTGCTGTCATCATGGTGCTGGCATTATAAATCTGCGCACTAATTGAACATGACCAGCCCAACATCTGCAGGGTGCTGAAGTGACTCCAGTGAAGCTGAAGCTCCAGGTAGTGCGCTCCTCATTAAGTCAGAAGTTGGCTGTGAATCCCACTCTTGGCTTGAACGCATAATTGAGGCTGACACTCTCCAGTGTGATACTGAGGGAGTGCTGCAGTCCTGGAGCAGTCTTAGAGTGAACCGAGGTCCAGTAGACTGTAAAAGATGGCATGAAATCATGGCACAGTTCACATAATGGTGGAGTTTATCTCAGGATCCTGGTCACTTTTTATCCGTTGCTAAATGTGGTTAGCATGTGATCTGACTGTTATCACATTTTTGTGGCTTTGTTGTGCGTGGGTTGGCTGCTGTGTTTCCGACAATGTAATGACTACACTTCAAAATGGCCTCCATGGGATGTAAATTGTTTTAGGATAATCTATGTTTGTGAAATGTATTCAAAAAATACAAGGGTTTTTTTGTGCAAGTTCCAGAGATGGCCTTGTTCAAGCATAAACATAGTAGAGCGAAGCTGTCGGACTGTTCTCAAGTCTAACCTTTGGGTGGCTGAGAGGGATTACACCAGCCATTGGCTTCTCATGTCCAATTCCTTGACAGTTCAGTCACTCAACTTCAGAGTATGTTCACTTTATCACAGTACCATTTGAATATCTAGGATACTAAAATCGATTGTGTATCTGGCAGATTTTGCACTATGAACGCTACTCACTATCATCTTGTATTTGTCTGTACTAAGTGTGTTTGGAGCCGTAGGCCTGGGGAGCAGGAGTTGACCATTCACCGTTTTGAGCCTGTTCCACCATTTGAGATCACGACTCAAGTGGTTGTGGTCTCGACTCCACTATTATGTCTGGCTGCTTCCCCACCACAGCCCAAAGCCCTTGTCTTTCAAGTCTATCTAACTTAGCCTTGAATAAATTCAATGACCCACCCTTCAGTATTTCTCGGGGAAGAGAATACCATAGACCAACAGCCCTCAGAGCAAACATTTCTCCTCATCGCAATCTTAAAAGCAAGACAACATATTCTCAAACTGTGTCCCTTGTTCTATTCTTTCCAAATAAAGGAAACTTCCTCCCAGTATCCTATCAGTTCCCTTCAGGAAATATGTTTTAAATATATAAAAACCGAAAGAACTGTGGATGCTGTAAATCAGGAACAAAAACAAAGTTGCTGGAAAAGCCCAGCAGGTCTGGCAGCATCTGTGAAGGAAAAACCAGAGTTAACATTTTGGGTCCGGTGACGGCCTGAGGAAGGGTCACCAGACCCGAAACGTTAACTCTGTTTTCTCCGTCACATATGCTGCCAGACCTGCTGGGCTTTTCCAGCAACTTTGTTTTAAATATATGTTTGACATGTGCATTTCCTAGGCCTTATTGTACCTTGAAGGCATCAGTGCATTAGTATGTTAAGCGTTTGCCCTTTGGTCAATACTTATTTACTTTTGTGTTTAGGTGAATCTATTTCTCAATGCAACACACACACTCCACCTTGGTATTGAAAAGCTGGAGCACTGCCCATCCCTAATAGTCTTTTAGGCAAGGACAATTGAAAGATCCAAAACAGAGTAAGGGGTTTGGGGGGTGAGGTTGGGGGCGGGGTACGGTTAGTTACTCAGACACGGGGAAGTTTGGAGTTGAATTGTAGACCTGGAATCAGTGACTGTGTAATGATTGTGTTAAGGAGGTTAAATTGGTGTAATGTTTGCTTTGACTGTGCTGAGAGAAGGTGGGAGTGATTGAGTAGACAAAAGGGATGATATCTCACAGCAATGGGCAAGTGGAAAAAAGATGAGTCTAGTCCAGCTGTAAATAGTCAAAAGTTGAAGAGGATGTAAAATCTTAATTCATATCGAAACATTTTTTTTAATCATAGAATGTGGATTTGACTGCTCAGGCAAGTATTTATTGCCTTTGAGCAGGTGATGGTGAGCTTACATAAAACATTGGAGCAGAAATAGGCCATTCAGCCTATTGAGTCTGCTCAATCATCCAATGAGCTTGTGGCTATGAATCCTCAATCCAATTTCCTACCGTTTCCCCCATGACCCTCCACTCAATGATTAGACATCTATGTATCTCCATTTTCAACAAGACCCGACCTCGACACTCCTCTGTGGAATTCTTTACTGCAGCTTCACTACAATCAATCAGAGAAACAATTCTCATTGTCTTAACTGGGCAACTCCTTACTCTGAGATTATCCCCTCTGGTCCTAGACTCTCCCATAAAGGGAAACATCTACCCTGTCAGGCTTCCTAAGATCTTGTATGCATCAATAAGGTTTCTCGTTCTCCTTTATGCCAGTGAGCACAGCTCTGACTAACTCAACTTATCATCAGAAAGTCCCTCCATACGTGGGATCAACCTAGTGAATCTCTTCTGGATTGCTTTCAACACCAGCGTATCGTTCCTTGGAGAAGACGACCAAGCTATTCACAGTATTCCAGATATGGTGTAATTAGTGCCTTGTATAGTTTTAGCAAAACCCCCCCCTATTTTCATACTTCATGCCCCTTGAAATAAGGCCACCTTAGACTCTATTGATCTTGGGCACTAGCTTTTTGTGATGCATGCGCTCAGAAACCTCCTCCCCATGCTCCCCACAAATCCCATATTGCAGCTTTCTGTAGTCGTTTCCATTTAAATAGTATTTGCTACTTCTTCCTGCCAAAATGTACAAACTCACATTTTCCAATATTAGATTCCATCTGTGAAGTTTCTACCCACTTGTTTAACCTGTCTATATCCCTCTGTAGGATCCTTGTATACCACTTACCAATGTTTGGTGTCATTCACAAACCTGGCTATATTACATTTCCTCACTCAAGTCATTAATGTATATCACAAATAATTGTGGCCCCAGCACTGATTCCTGTGACACTCTACTAGTTACAGGTTGCCATCCTGAAAATGCCCCCTATTGTCCCAACTCTTCTAATAGTTAGCCAATTCTGTATCCATGCTAATATGCTACCATCAACATCATGGGTCCTTGTACACTACTGACAGGCTTGCCGGCCCATTTCAATATAGTGGTTGATTTTCAACTTCACAAAGTTAAATACAGTTCTTAGGGTTTATTGGATCAAAGGGTGTGGGAGAAAGTGGGAACAGGGGACTGGGTTGGATGATCAGCCATGATCCTATGAAATGGTGGAGCAGGCTTGAAGGGCTGAATGGCCTCCTCCTACCATTTCCAGTGCTGTGGGTCTGACTACACAAGTAGGCCAGACCAGGTAAAGATAATAGGTTTCCTTCCTTGAAGAACATAAATAACAGATGAGTTGTTACAGAATCCAGTAGTCATGTGGTTGATACTACTGATGCTAATCATGTAGTACCAGGCATTAGGGGTCCACAAGAGTTAATTTTGCACCATTATGAAGTATTACTGAATGCTTTAAACAAGCCATTTTGAGAACTTCCACTCTAACTGGAAGCTGCAGAAATCTAACTGCGTCT